TATATATATAGACACATATACAATCACACCCACACGTAGAAAATCACACACACTTACTGGTTTGTTAGGAAAACAGAAGCGATTTTCTGCTCCCTGAAGCAACGATGACCAGCTTTTATTCAAGTGCACACGCCCGGAACACCGGATCGATAGGACATCGATACATCGATTCTTAACACTGATTTGGATTTGTCATTCTCGGACCGCATCCCGGGGATCATTCGTCGGGGTTAATATCAGTTTTCCCGAGTACGCGTGACTGGTTAGAGAGTACTGAAATGTGTCTATTTTCTTGACCTTTGGCGAGGTTATCTCTTGAAAACATGTAATTGATACACAATCATGTAGAAAAGCAACAGATTTTGATGCGTTACCAAACCGAGACATTAAATGAATTATGGCTATGATCCTATGACTGGGGCCATATCAGTTTTAAAAAAGTGGATTAATTTACGATCTTCTTAAATTTAAACTGACTTGAAGAGTACAGCAAAGTGACGTAGGGAGTCGTTACATGTATTCATGGAGCGACAATTCAACATTCGCGTTTTTCATTTTCGTTTTTTAATGTATATTTTATGCCCCAGTCGATATAATTTAGTTCATTTAGGAGGCAGGTTGCTCCGACTTTGCTTTGCCAGTACCAACTCGAGCTGAATGGAATACGAATTTCCCAACTGACACTCAGACAGACAGAGGTACTGGATCAAGGAAAAAAAAAGAAGAAAATCCCTGCTTGGAAATCGAACTTACATCTTCCGTAAGCGACAAGAAAAAGTTAACAATTATTCCAGCACAGACGATGGCTCACTCATCCTTTGTCATTGTTGCTGTATCGGTTCAACTCCCATTTCAACACTGCAAGTTTATCTATGAGACGGGACCTATGAATTGAACGTCCATTTCCGATAGGACCGAGCCAAACAGTAGAACAGCCTTAGAAACATTCCTCAAAAGAACCAGGGCCATCCAAAGGCCAGCATGATACCAAATGAGTTAACGGTGCGCCCTTCACTCATTTTGGAAAAGGTGCCAGCAGATCATTGATGGAATAGAGGTGTAATAAGCAGGTTTTCTTACTTACCGCTACATCAAAGACCGAGTCCAAACTGCGAATCTTGAAGAACTTGACGTGGTCCGCCGGGGCGAAGACATAGCGCTTGCCTTGGTATGTCCCGTCAGAATCCCCGACTGTCAGGACACGGGAAGAACAGTGATGTTGATATTGAGAGAGTTGAAAAATTAACACTTCTACATGCAGAGAATAATGTCTTTTCACTCTAACCTCCAAAAGACACTAACATAAACACCGTGAAAGTACCACCCCCCCCAAAAAAAGGGGAAAAAAAGAAAAAAACCAACTAACCAATCAACCAACCAACCAACCAACAAACCAACAAACCAACCAAACAAACAACCAAACAAACCCAACAAAACAAAAGAAAAAAATCCCCTCCCCCAAACAAAAGAATAATAATTACACGTGTGAACCCCTCAAGTTACCCTATCGTAGACATAGATATTATCATACACACAAACACTCCCCCCACCCCCTTTCAACACACAAACACACACACACACACACACACACACACACACATGTACGCTTCTGCGATAGGGAGCGAGTATGTTTCAGACCATGATCTATCTATCAATCTATCCGTCTATCTACCAATCCACCCCTCTATCTATCTATCTATCTATCTATCTATCTATCTATCTATCTATCTATCTATCTATCTATCTATCTATCTATCGATCGATCTATCTACCGATCGATCTATCTATCTATCGATCTATCTATTGATCGATCGATCAGTCAGAAGTCAGTCATAATCGGCGTCTAAAGTGTAGCGCTTAGGCTCTTGCCTGTCGCACCCAGAAGAACCGTGTTCGATTCCCGAGTGGGGATAACTTTTATCGACTATACTCCCTGTCTTTCTGCAGCACTGGAATGTTGTTTCCTTCTCAGCCCGGGTTGGCCCTGACAGACAGGTCCGTAGCCGGCCTCCTAAAAGATCCACATTGTGTCGATACTTTGTTTACTTTATTTTTTCATTCTCTGGTGCCGTTAAGCATCGAGGGCAGATGCAGTTTTCTATGGAAGGCCAGCTCTGCAGTTCTTTTAATTGGGATATTTTAATTTCCCATTGTTTTCTTGACTCCCTCAATGCACCTTTTGCGTGGTCTACCTCTTCTTTTACAGCCAAAGTAGCCTACTTGATGTTTTCAGCTCTCGAGGGTGGCAGGCTAGGTGATATTCGTAACAGGTGGCCAAACCATTTTTTATTCTCCGTTTTTCAGAGAAATATGCAGGCAAGATATAATTCGAATTATAGCCGCTCTTACTTCTTTGTTTCTCTGACAGTCTCTTCTTGTGATGTTCAGGGTTTTTCGGAGACATTTCATTTCACTTGCTGTGATTTTGCTTTCATGGGTTTTACTTAATTAAGTATTGTGTCGATGTGGGTGGTTGGTGGGTGCTCTGGTGTGGTTTGCT